GAGTTAGAATGTCTCTAATGCTGCTGACGATAGGGCTGCGAAAACGAATTCCAGCTATCTCAACGAGGCTTGAGGATGAGTCTGTGTAGATGATATTGGGCACTGTGGGATTATTCTTCATGTGGAGAAGAGCTGCTCTCACAGCTATGAGCTCCGCCTGAAAGACAGACAGTGTTTTCAGAAGAGAGCTTTCTTTTCCACTTATACGTTAAAGCTCCTCCAGAAAGTATACAGAATCCGCTTCCCGTGCCCCCTGAAGTTTTAGAGTCATCAGCAAAAACACCATTTTGCAAATCCCGCGTACTGTGTTCTATTAAAGTAGATAGTGGTCCAGAAGGTTATTTTTAGCATGGTGGCAGGGAGCTTGCGGTATGTGATGCTCATAATCTAGTATGGATATGGATTTGTCCCCAGAGACTCATAGTGTGCATCGTAGCCTGCTTACGTTAACTACTGCAGCCTCTCGTTCAGCTAACAAGTCTAGAGGCGGCGTGCCTGTGATCATTTGTAAGGCTGCCGTGGACGTGGTACGATAAGCCTTGCAAATGAGAAGATGCTGGTGTCGTTGTATAGAGAGTAGTGGAACGTCTCATTTGGGAAGAGATGTTAGTTCCCCAAATAGTAGCGGCATACAGAATAATTCTTTCCACTATTGTCTTGTACCATATTCTAAGCAAGTGACATGGCATACCCCATCATAACGAGGTTGTTGAGCGAATGGAAGTAGTCAGTCTGTTGATTCCTAACTTTAAAGAAGAGATGTGTGGTTGCCAGGAAAGTATATTATGTATTACTACTCCTAGGTACTTAAGTAGTTTAACACATTTAATGGAGGACCCCAAGAGTTTAAGACAGGGGTTTCTACGTCTGATCATTTCGACTGGGACGACAGGTCGACTGGAATTGACTATCCTAGTGCTCTGCTTAGATCAATATTTAGGCAGCCTCGACTTCTGCGTTACGGTGTTGTCTGCCCCTTGTTTGTGGGGACGTCACATGGTCAGGTATCGAAGGTTGTCCAAGAAGGTTTGGTTCCCCTTTGTCAAAGCTTTTAGACTGTCGATATTTTGACATATACTTGAGTTTCTTTTTAGGTGGATACCAGCCGTCCACCACACACTTTGTGTTTTACATTTGGCAAACGAGACGAAAATTGGAAAATTGTCCCCCGGGATTGACCGGGGAGGAGTTATGCCCACTTGGAAGACCTCTAGGAGTTCGAGAAATTACCGTGTAAGACTGCCCCGAGTAATGCTCGGTCTGGGCGTCCCTCCTTCTTAGCGCACTGTAGTTATAACTAACTAATAACTACAGTTATAACTATTTTTATATAATTAACTATAACCATAGCGTTAATTAATTATAGTTTAGTAGCATTCTATAAGCAGCCAAAAAGGTACCAAAATTGTTAATAAAGCAAAATGCAAAGAGGCAAAAATAGGCATGAAAATCAGAGGAAAACGTACCTAGAGCACAAAGGAATAACAGATTCAGCTTGGGCATAAAATATCTACAACAACGAAACAAACGATATTTTTACTTAAGATTGTTTTGGCCATCAGTTTTGGAAAAAAGCTAATTGATTTCGATTTTATCAACAAGTGAGTACTTGCGAAGAGTAGTAAACAAATCTATTAAAATGTTCTTTTTATAGTACTAGGTCTACATTATGCAGTTCGGCTTTCTTCGCGGAATTTCTGAGTATCATTTTTATGTTTTAAAAGTTCCATTTATTTTCATGAGAGAATTATTCATAACCACACTGCCTAAACAGTTCATTATATATTCGGATACACTACGAGAAGGGGAAGAACAACTTCGACAAATTCCATTTATTAAAATCTGCCATTACTCTTATTTATTGCGTGTTAAGAAATTTTGCAAGGAAGCAGAAATTTGTTTTTGGATCAAATGTAACTGAAGGAAAAAAGACAGATGAAGAATTCTTTTCTTGACCTTAAACTGAATGGATTTATTGCCCAAATAACCCGCCAGTTAGATTTCTTGTATACACTGAATTAAAAGAAACCATATTGTGCCAAAATAATCAATAACGTAAAAAACAAGCTCATATTCTTATAGCTAACTATAGCATATAATATTTTATTCCATAAGCATTGGAAGTATATGAGTTAAAAATACCAGTCTTTTATTAAAGCTCTTTATATTAAAATAGAGAAATATATCCAACTTGTTTTTCTTCTCCGTATCTCCATCATTACTATGCAAAATTAAACGGCAGCATTTTCTTTGCTGCAAAATACCATTTCGAAAGTCATTTTCTCCCTCTTTTCCGCATGGATTCGTGGTGATATTTATTGAAAGCATACTCGACGCATATTCCAGACGTCCAGAATTCGACTCCCGGCTAGATCATTACACATTTTCCCGTCTCCTGCTTCAAAATAATCTACATTATTTTGAAGTTGGTCATACTTCAAAATTATTACAGTTCAAAATTACACACATATACTACTATATTATTCTACAATGGTGACAAACTAAAAGATGGTGGGCGACTGGGTCCCCTTATCTCCAGTCGCCCTTTAAAAGAGGGACTATATAAGGTATTTTCTCATTTCCTTTCCGCACGCCTTCATAGTGTAACTGGGTGCATACTCGACGCATATTTGAGATGTTCAGGGTTCGACTCCTAATCAGGGCACTGCACAATTTTACATCTCCTGCTTCAAAATAACCTAATTACTCTAGAAAGTTTTTGCAACACCTATATTTTCTAGTTCTATATTTTCTTATCTAGTATCTGAAAGGATTTCTTTTTACATTTTTATTTGCGGGCTTCAGATTAAGAGATTTTTGCTTTATTATCTGTTTTTTATCTATCTTTTTTATCTTTATTTCGAAACTTTTATGCCTTTTTCAATGCGCTGAAAATCATTCCCTTTTGAGTATTTTGCTTATTGCATTATAAGATCTGTGTTTTGGAAATAAGCGCTTTTCTTTCATTAATATTGGTCTCTACTAAACTATTTTCTAATTTTTATCTAAGAAAGCTAAAATCCTCAAAAACACTAAAAATCGTTTTGCATTTCCTTTATTATCCGAGCGCAGAAACGAGCAATCTTATATGAAGAACTGTAATAATTTGCAGGAGCTGAATCCGAAATTTTCAGTTTCATTTTTTTTTTGGATGGTTCGAATTACTACTTCATTTAATTTTAAGTTTTCGACATCGTAAATGAAGGTGACCCATAAATGTAGTTTTACTACACATCCGATACTAAGCGATAGTCGTCAAAAGAAGAGGGTGTTGCCATTTCACTGAAATAAAATACGTCCTTTACACAACACATGAATAGGGGCCTTTTACTTTATATTGCAGTTTTTGTAATTATCAGTGGTCAAATCTTTCATCTGGTCTATTCCTAGAAAATTTAGATTTTAAATTTTGCGCTGGTGATGGGAAAAAGAAGTTCTGAATGTAACGTCTATAAGTTGTGCTTATTTCCTGCGATATGTGCCTTTCAAGAAATTTTTTCTTCCAAATTACGAAATATACATCTAATAAATATGACTTAAAAATATATACTTCTTTATGGCAACAAGGATTTCTTTTTTATTTTCATTACTGGTTTGAAGATTATTTTTAATCCAAAATGTCAAATCTATAAATATTATGAGTACGTAAAAGTGGTTTGAAATTTTCTCGCACCCCTTCTCTTCTTTTTTTTAAAATTATATATATATATATATATATATATAAATAAGAGCAAATATATATATATATAACAGCAAGAAAAATCTCAGGTTTTTAAACTGGAATCTAAATATCAAAATAAGATTGCTTATGCTTTTTATTTCCATCAAATGCAATTCAAATCTGTAATTGAACAGATTACTAATAAAAATAATAATTAAAAAAACCTGAAAGATTTCAGATTTCATATTACGCCTAAAAGAGCGTTTTTTAACGTTTCGTGTATTACATTTATTTATTAAATATCATGCTCTTTGCACTTAACCCATATAAAATTCAATTCAACAGCAATATCGCAAAATATCTAAAAACAGCATATCTTTAGAATTACCGATACGCAGCTTTGCATGCTGGAGACAAAAAAGCGTTTTTTTCCGTACGGTGCTGTCATTGCTCGCTTTGAAATTGTTCAGTTTGTTGATCAAAAATTCGTTAAAATTTTAAAAAATTTGAACCAGATAATAAAAAAAATTTCACATTCCAAATTCGGGCTTTTAAGTGATTATGTTCGGTTGGAGGACTACGTTATTCAAAACTGGATCGCTCTAGGTACCGTTGTTTTTCACAATGCGAGAAACATTCATGCAGGTTCTTCATTATTTAGTTTCCTTAAATATAATACTTGACGTTAATATTTGGTGGCAACCGTTTGAAAAGTGAACCAACGCAGAAAGTGAAACAACGCAAAATGCCATTTTGAGACTAATAACCCTCTGGATTTAACGCCTCTTTGGGCTAACAAATAAATAAATAAAAGAAAAGAGGAACGGAAAAGTTTATTAACATTTCCTCAAAAATGAATTCCTTAATACGGCCTTAAAATTTCAAGTTGTAGATAAAGGATGAATAAAATTTCCAAATGTGTTAACTATATTACCTCGCACTAAAAAAAAAAAAAAAAAAAAAAAACTAGCTGTCATTATTTAAAAGGTTTTCTAATCTAGTTAGAGCAAAAGATTATTTTAAGTATAATAAGTAATGCCAGGAGGGCTGTAGATTAAAATTACTTTCACATAAATACAACGCCAGAAGCAATTCATGTGTATTCCAGCACTGGGAATTATAGCGAAATGTAACGTGTAAAGATGAAAATACAAATTATAACTTTCGCTTTCGCTCGGATTTATTTTAGGTTTCTTTAGAGCCCTCGGATGAAAAGTTCCAGTTATCTGAAAGATACGTAATCCGAATCCTTTCGTAACCCGGCGATTGAAAAAAACTCCGTCGCACGTCAAGAATCACGGCGGAGCCATCGCCGTTCATTTGGCGACAAAACTCCGTCGCTCGCTGTACTTCCACTCACTTGCGAAATCGACGGCAACCCTGTTCGAAAAAGGGGCCGAACCAGCCGAACGCTGAGATGCAAAGAAACTACGAAATGCGGCGGACGCGTGGAGCAGTCAGCGTTGCCAGATTAAAAAAGTGATGATTATTGTTTACCACCGAAACTCTCCACACTTCACCTCTTAAGCATCAACAAAACAATAACATAAATAACTATCGAACAGAAAGAGTGCATTTACGAAATATCATCCCTGGAAATTTCAACCGGGTCTTCTTCATGTCGAGAAGAAAGCAGTCAAATCCTAAACCTCTGAAACGTGAGTAATTTGAAATCTTTTTATTCTTCCCCGAGCAAATTGTTTCTTTTACAGTACTAACGATTCAGTTGCGCAAGACATACGTTCCGGCGCGCACTGGGGGTTACCCGCCGGCCGCTACCGGTGGGCTGGCGGCATGAGCGATGATGCTCAGCGTGTGGTATGTAAAGCGTGACAACCGGCGGAAGTACCCTCCTTATTCGATCTTCTTGACACTTTTTATACAGTAGGTTTTGCAGAAACTCTTGGTTGTACCTGACAGGTCTTGTTGTTATGAAATATACTTGATATACGTCAGAATTTATACTCGTATATATTATTATATCTAGTTTTAATATAGTCTTCTGCATGGGTACATTTATTTTTAATTCCTAAATATTTTAATCTGTAAGAATTTAAGATTACCTTACGCTTTTGTTTCGTTATATTGCAGTAAAGGCTATCGCTTGTGCTAAAAAGATTTTATCAATGAAATATATTTGCAGTCATCATTTAATTAAATATCATGACCCAATATAGTAAAGTGAAACGATCGTGTTTTGACACTCTTGCCAAAGATTTGACGCACACAGCTTCAGCTTTAATTCAACTTTTGCCAAATAAATCTCTTCTCTGAAAATGAAAAAAAATACTAATATTGCATAAATAAAAGCACAGACGTCATTAAACCTTTCATTTCAGTACTGAAAAGCTATTTATCAAAAAGTTTGAAGATATTGTATTAGGAAAATTATCTTTCGCCTACTATAATACAAGCGAATTTGCTTTCATACAGTAAAGGTTTTAATATATTAAAATTGTTCACAGAAAATAGAAATATATTTAGAAAATATATTACTTATTTTTCATTAACATTTTTATAATTCAGTTGACATTTCTATAAATTCTAAGTATCTTAACCATTCAAGAACTCAAAGCTTTAGATCTTCCGCTGTTGCCATTTATTAGAAGATAATGAAAGTAATGAAGATGATAAAATAGAATGACTCATACATGCTCTTAAACATTCCTAGTTAAAAGGCTAAATGATTTAATTATACATGTGTCGATATGTGTAGTTAAAACAATGTGTATTGCCTGTTACATGTGACACATATTATCTACCGTATATGCTGGCTGATTATAGCTATAAAATTAAATCGGTATTCTTTATGTAGTTAAAATATACCTAACTAACATATTTAGAGCACAAAGATGACAATGTCGTTTATTTGTTGGATTTCGCTACATTGAACTTACTGCTTCTTAAATATTTTATGAACTGAAGAATAGGTTGTTTAAAAGTACTGGGAAATTCAAAATTCAATCCTGATCTTAAACTATATGAAGCAGTTGGAAATGAAATTATAACAAAATGAAAATGATAAAACTGATTTCGAAAACAATATGCAAAAATCTTTGCATATATATGTAATATTCAATACATTTTTGAATATTTAACAATAATCCAGCATCTTAATTTAATGACTGCTTTATTATTTTCCTTCTTTTTACCTAAATTTATTTCCTATCCACTCTTATTAGTTACTACATTTTGTGTCTTGACAGAAATAAGGTCACTGACTTCTGGCAAATTTGAGGAAATTACCTGTTTTTGTTTTAGTTTTCGCTAAGGTTTGAAGAAGAATTAAGAAATATTGTCCCAAGAATCATTTTTTTCCTTATAAAGGGGCATGAAGAGAATTTTAATTTTGAGGTCTATTTGCTAATAATAATATAATGCTTCTATTTAGATACATGTTATTACGTTTTTCTTCTGGATTGGGCTTATCTATAATATATAGAAAAAAGTGGGTTTTTCACTCTTTGGCGAGACATTATTTTCATGAAAATGCTGTAAAAATCTTAAATTCGATAATTTTGGCTTTTATGATGTCCATAAACTTAATCAAAAAGTAAAAACACTACATATGCGTACATATGCAATGTTTATAAGTCCTATACAATATGTTAGAGTTTGAAAGATTGAATTAATCCAAGAACAATTACTACATAAGGTATCACAAAGAAGAATTAAAAGGTATTTAGTTTGACAGTACCAAACTTATAGAAATTTTATACATGCATTGTAAGAACGTTTATATCACGTTTCTGAATCATATCAAAAAGTAGGCAGAATAAATAAAAGATAACATATGTTAATTAGCTTACTTAAACCTTTATACTTAAATCCTGGAGGAGTGACCTAATTAAAGTTTGTTTTATGATTCCATCCACCTTCCCTTTCTCCCTGTTTATTTCAATTTATTGTTTTTTCGTGAGGGCAACAAGGAAGACGTTAAGATTTTTTTACGTTCTAAAAGCATGTGATTTTTTTAGAATATGAAAAGAACGGTCACTGTTGATAAAAGTAAAAAATTACTAAAATAACTCATGCAGTTTGCGAACTGTTTTTTGATTTCGATTTTAAGCTCAATGTTTTATTACATTGTGAAATAAATTAAGAAGAAACAGAAAGGCATTATTGTTTGATCAATAAGAAATAATTTTCTAGATACAGGGCTTCAAGATCTGCTATCTGTAATTTAAATTAAAGAAAAAGTTTTTCCATCCTTTAAATAAGGTTTAAAGGATGGAAAAATTTCCTTCTTTTTTAATTAATTAATTTTTTTTGGAAACGTTTAATTACATTCTTTAAAACTGATTCCATCTTTGTCAAAAACTCATTAAATATCTAAAAATGTAAGATTTTAAATAGTACTTTAATTCGTTCATTTCATTGCAACTTTTCTTGACGTAATCTTTATAAGCACAGTAGTTTAAAACACCTTTACAATACAATGAAATAAAATTGATCAGCAATCTTAAATTCCTGTTGAATTAAGTATTTTTAATTTGGATTCGACATTCCGTAATAAGCAGGTAGCTATATACAATTTCCTGGGTAGTATACCTTATTATAACTTACTACAAGTAACTAAATTTGCATGACCCAGATGTTAAACTTTTACTTAAAAATGTATTGTAAATAAAAAATTGATTGAACATGTTTTTCCAAAATAATGTGACTTTTAAATAGAGTATGTAGGGATACTAATGATATCTACAAAAACCTTTAATAACCCCAGCAGTATTTCCATATGAATTAAATGTTAATTAAACAGTTTAATATTCAAAATTTTGATTAATACTTGAAGTAAGAACTGGTAATACTGAAATAAAGTTTTTTTTAACAATCAATAGATAAAACTTTTCAGTTATTAAAACTTATTATTAAAACTTATTACTTACTTCAGTTATTAAACTTATTAATTAACAAAAATATTTCTTACTTTTCGAAGATTATGTGGTATTATTTCGTTGTATAATATCACTGCTATACACAGGCAAATTATTCGAAACTGCATATATTTACAAATATTTTAATTTTAAATACAGCGAAAAATTCTTCTTGTTGTTAATGCAGTTACATAAAATGATTTATTGCTTTTCTTATTAAATAACTGCTAGCAAAAATTTCTCAAATCCATGTATAAGGACCATTTCACATATGAAAATATTTAATGCAAATTTAAAAATATCTCTTAGAGATGGTTTGAAGCTTTCTTGAAATAAAAGTGAATTAACACTGTTAACTACTCCACTAATGCAATAAAGACAGGCCTAAAGAGAGTATTGTAAGACAGTCAGTTATTTCATCAACACCAAGCCAAATCTACGGATCTTTGAAAGCGTTTTTTAACAGAAAACAATTTAGAGGTTTGGCAGATGTTTGATTTTGAGAAAAATAAAGTGATATCTACTACATAATAATTATCTTATACGCACTTGATAAAATATGCATATTCTTCTTTCAGTAATGGTTGGACGTTCTATGCATAATATTCATTCGTTCAGTAAAATATGCATATTCTTCTTTCAGTACAGTTTTACTGTAAAATGTCGAAAAATAACAGAAAATTCAAGCAAGTGTAAACTGCAAAAATTGTAAATATTTGGTTTTGGAGTTTGCGGAATATATTTTGTGCCAAGTTTATGGTGATTTAAATATTTCATGTGGCTAAGCAGGAAAAATAATACTTAAGAATAATTATTTAAAAGTAAATTATTTTTCTCAAGAGGCAATATTTCAGTTTAAATCTGATTGAATCATTGAAGGCTTAAACAAAATACTTTTCTTAAAATTTTCTGTAATTTTGCGTGTTCATTTTTGCCCCCTAGGGAATTCCCTAGGATATTCGATTGCAAAGTATTTCTTGGAGCATTTAATTACAATGTGCTTGCGTCTTTGGCTGTAGTCTTTTCATCAGAAGATTGTTTCCGTTATATCGCACTTCCTTCTGCCATCATAATAATAGACAGCCTTTTTTTTTATTACCTAAAATGTAAATAATATGATCATCAAATCCCGTTTTATAATATGAGCCATTATAAAATTATAAACAGTCACATTTTTAGTGCTATCATATCACACCTTTCCATCATAACCTAGCGGTGGGTGGCCAGAAGATATACCGCAGGCATTATTAGTCTAAAAGACAATGCAATGAGAGGCAAGTGGACATTAACAACATGCTTAGAAAATGTGGTTTATTAAACGTCACTGAAACGAAAATTTAAACATTTGTTAGTTATATAAATATTACAATCACGCATATTTGAAAGGTCTCGATTTGCACCATTTGACCCTTCACACATACTGAGCCAAGTTCTATGTACCTTCAGTTTTCTATGCCAGGTCATTGGAACTTGTCAAATGTTTATTAAAAAGCCTGAATGATATCTAGTACGACCATATAACATGATCAGAATGCGTACTTTTACATGAATTTGTGCGTATTTTCTTGATCAATACTATAAATTATTTAAGAAAATTTTAATCATTACCATTCTTTTTCCATACAGCGTGATAAATTGTAATTAATAATATAATACAATCACTGCTGTAAACAAATAAAACTCTTTATGGACTTTCAATGCGTATAAAGCATGTATTCAAAAGAGATCTAATATATCTTTGAAGCAAGGATAGAGAGACTGAGGAAATTCGGAAACGGCGA